AATCTAAAAGACAGAAGGCTGAAACCCGACAGGGCCTTAGTTAATAGGTCTCAAGGAACAAGTTTTTAACATAAAGGTTTTAGAACAGTCTTAAAGGTTCTCTTAAAAAATCATGGCAGCAGCTGTTTCTTCATGATTTTGTTGTTAAGGGATAAAAACAGCCCCCCCCCCCTCCAGCATGTAAACAAGTTGCAAAATCCAACATGTTTTTGTTGGTTAGTACACAGTGATCTATGAGCAAAAAAAATAGGCAATACAATAATGAAGTTTTAGATGTCATAACACTGCTGTCAATCATTCATAAACAACATGTCCAATACATCGTTAATGATCAAAATTTCAAGTTGTTTACAGTTAACAACTCCCAACTTAATCAGGAGTCATAAGTTGAGATCATCTTAGAACTACAACAATCTTTCAATGAAGGTATGAATTAGTTCCAAGAATATGAACATGCTAATAAACCTTAAGTTATAAACAAGTATACTAAACATTTACCTTGGTAAGCGCTTACCGGATCAATTRCCTTACCGCGTGAACATAACAAGAACCAAGAATCTTACCYGGTAAGTGAGGGTAATGACTCTTACCCGGTAAGCTCTTACGAGTTACAAACGGTTACCAATTACCCAATTTGATGATCGGGAATGTTACCCCATAAGGTAAGTGAGTGGTGACTCTTGCCAATAAGCACGCACTAGGTAAACATTTATTAAACGACCCATAAGTACTTAAAAAGGTTAACTAATTATGTACCTGCACAATACGGCGGAATGAAAATGTTCTATCAATAATAATTACAACTTTAAATATCAAATTTTCGCAAGATATGTTTGAAATACTCGGTGGTATTAAAAGTTCTTTATAATGCAACAGGATGTAAAAAGGAATTCTTGTACTTGTTAGTAGCTTATGACTACTGTTTAACAAAATGGGTTCAACTTAGCAATACTACTGTTTAAATACTTATATTTACAACAAACTAATTGGGCATAAAATGTTGTCAAAATACAACAGAATTACAACAAAAATGTTATCAAAATACAGCAGAAAATGCTGTCAAAATACAACACAATTACATTAGTAAATGTTGTCAAATACAACAGCAAATAGCAACAAATAATCACATATTTATTTGATCTTGCAGGTAGTTTGTAAGATGAGTGGAAGTCAAGATGAGTGGCTGTCAGAATTCGCATAAAATGTCAATACAGATTGCTATTAATCAGTTTGATTTCAGAGTTCAAGAATATTCTGTTTTCGTAGTTTGAGTTAAGACAACAGACTCAATACATAATTCGAATTGAATATTTTTATGATGTTA